AACTGGAGGAACGGGGGGGGGGGGGCGAGAGGGGGAAAGGATTAAGCCTTTTCCCCACCCTCCCTTCTCTCTCTGCTGGTTCTTTTCCATTTTTTTTTTTAATGCAAAGGGGGAAAAAAAGTATTCTTCGTTGTGTGTAACTCGGCCATACGGGAAGACTCCGATGAGCTTTGTAAATTCCTAGGGAAAAATAAACCATTAAACAGGAATAATCCGCCAGGATTGCATTTGCCTGGAATACCCACTGCCTCTTTACGGTGCCCTCTGGATTCTTTACTGCTATTCTGAATTGTGGTGGGGGCCACTTCAAAAGCGAGGCCCACAGCTCTCCCCTGGTTCAATTCCATTTTGAATATGGGTCCAGACAAAGCCGGAAACAGTCCTTCCCAAAGCAGCATGGATGGGAGAAATGCAGGAAGAGAGGACTATGTCTGCTTGGTATGTTCTTCAAGCTTCTCAATGGGACATCAGACTTACACGGAATGGCAGCGAGTTATCCACGAGTTAATGAATGATGTCGACCTTGTACCTTTTGCAGGGCACACCCAAACACAAAACCCCCATTCAGCTTCTTCCAGCCAAGGTGAGAAAGAAAAGAGAGCTATTAAAAACAGTCAAGACTCAACTTTACAATATGTCCTATTTTGTATTCCTGTAGCTTCTGTTTGTTTGCCGGACAATTCTGATATATTTTTCGCCTTATTTTCATTGACATAAGGTTTAGAGCAGTGTTTCTCAACCTTGGCAACTTTAACATAGGTGGACTTCAACTCCCAGAATTCCCCAGCCAGCTGTGCTAATTTTATCTATCATAAAATTGCCAAGGTTGAGAAACACTGGTCTAGAGTTTTGCTAGAAAGAAAGATAGATATTACTCTTTTTGTTAATATACTACTGAATTGCAGGCCAGGAACAACACTGACTTGTTCAGTGGGGCCACAATATAAAGACAAATCTGAGTACAGTATTTATTTATTTATTAATCAAATTTATATGGCCGCCATCTCACAAAAAGTGACTCTGGGTGGCATACAACAAGCCAATAAAACAATGAATACATAAAACAAACATTGCCTAAAAACATTATATAATAATTATTAAAACTATAAAAGCAGAACTAAAACAGAAACAATAATAGATGGAGGAATATTAATAATACTGGAGCCACCTCACTAATTTACCCGTCCCTTGGGGTCTCCAGGCCTGCTAGCATAACCAAGTCTTGAGGGATCTTCAAAAGCTAAGAAGTGATTTTTGACAAAGGAAGATAGCTCCATTTGACTTAAATAAGAAAGTCAAGAAATTCCAGTACAACTGTCAGCATCTCTCTCTCTCCCTCTGAACCGATCAATTTACTTTTTTTTTTTTCCCCAGAATATGCATTTCCTGGTAGTCTTGAAAGGGTATCTTCCATGCTCAGATGTCATTACCTCTTGCATTTAAAAAACAACCAACCAAATACCTCCATTTAAAAATGTTGTAATGTCCAGAATTTCAACGTTCAATACAGTATACGCTAACAACATTGAATATCTCAGAAGCACGTCCCTGTACATGCACGAAATGACCTGCTAATTATCGAGACCGCATTCAGACATGCTCTCCCCACATTTCCATACAAGCCAGAAACCCACAAGCAGAAAATCAGACCAAAACAGAAAGGTGGCATTGCCTAAGGAAATGCAGATCAGGCCCAACATCCTGTCTTCAGGTGGCTGTTTTAGGGCAGAAATTAGATTTTAGCAGAACCAAGGACACTGAGTCAGGTGAAAAAGATTTCTGGCCTTGTGAGAAACTGGCACTGGAAATGGTGCTTGCTTTTAAAATTCCCAAGCTTAGACAGCTATTCACAGCAAGAGTTTAAATGTGGTGTTGAAAACCCTCCAGGAAGTCATTCCTAATTGAATGAGCTTGGTTGCTGTGCTCCAACGCTTCTTTGCAAAGGGGGTCTGAGGCACCTTGGGTTACATGAAAATTTCTCTTGAAAGTCATGACATCATGTAAATGCCATCTCGAGCCGCCTGTGCCAAGACTGGAGCAGCTGGGGGGTGAAACAGCTTTAACTCGCCTTAGCTTGTCAGTTGGACGTTTCCCGCAACCGTCCAATTCACCCAAGAAACTTGTGCTGACATCCCAGTGGTTCCTACACTCTGCAACAATAAAAGAATTGGTCTTTTGTTTCTTAGGACTAGTTATTCAACGGCCCTAGGCAGCGTCTCACTCCGTGGCAAAATAAAACCACAGAAGTACAACAGAAGATTCATTCAGCCCAAGATAAACACTGAAGCCGGCAGTTCAAAATCCAGCATATAAGAGTCACAACAAAAATAAGGCCGGAAAGGTTGTGCAAACAGAAAGGTGGTGGGCCACGGTGGAAGAGACCATGCTTCTCTTCAGTTGCCCCCCTCCCCTGCTTTACTTTGAATGGTATGGGGGACCTGGTCAGAATGTCTCTTAAGAAAGAAACAGATACAAACAGTCCATGTATTTGGGCGTTTATAGGTTAAATCCAGGATGTTGAACCAGAATGATCATTCAGATACCTCCTTCATTTTCTGCAGGCATTTAAAAACATCACTGTTCACACATCATCAATCCACTGGAATAGAATAAATCTCATAATTCTTTGACTCCTGTGACAAGGAATATCTAGCCCATTGTTCAGTTTCAGGTCTCCATTTTCTGGGCCTCTTCATTTGGTCTGTGAGAGCTTCAGCTGGGGTTTCTCCTCTTTGGAGTTCTTGATGCTCTCTGAGCTTGGTTGTTTGTTTGCAGACATTTTGTTACCCAACGGTAACGGAACGTCTGCAAGCAACCAACCAAGCTCAGAGAGCATCAAGAACTCCACAGTTCAACCCTGAGCCACAGATATTCTCTTCTACTGTTCTCCTCTTTGCCAAATCCTCCATGTCTTCACAGAGAATGACCACTTTCTCACGTAGAACCGTGTGCTCGTTTTTACATTTAAGCTACATCCACAGAAGTATCATTTCTAGTGGAAAATAATCTCTCCAAGTTACTTCTCCTTGGATCAGACCTCGCTTCAAATACTTCTGTCAAGTTCTCAGCAACTTCAATCTTTAAGAAGGGGGCAAACTGGAAAAAGTTCAGAAAAGGGCAACAATGATGTCCAGAGGCCTAGAAGCTACGTCTTAGAAGGCAAAGCTGGTGTGATGTAGTGGTGAAGATGCTGGACTAGGAGTGAGAAGATCCAGGTTCTAGGCCACTTCAGTCATGGAAGCCACATCCAGGTGACTATGGGCCAGTCACTCTCTTTCAACCCTGGACTGAGAAGTTGAAAAACATTGATCTACTAACACACATTGAACCAGCATGGTAGATTGCAGCCCATAACTTTCAATGAAGAAGTCTTCATCCTGCAGTGGACTGACCTGAGCTGATAGTAATAATAATGAATGGTACTGAAGAAATGGTCAATGTTTAGCCTTGAGAAAAGATGCCTAGGAGGAGACATGATAACATCTTCAAACATGATAGCTCTCCAAATACTGAAAAGAATGTCATACAGACTTGTTCATCATTGCAGAGTATAGGATGTGAAGCAATAGTTTCAAGTTACAGGAAGGAAATAGATCTCCCTTCCGTATAATTAAGAACAATTCAACGGGAGAAACAATGACCCAGAGGAATTGAGAGGGCATTGGCTTCAGTGGCCTTAATAAACCCTTCAAATCTCCATTTCAGGAGATAACAAGCAGAGTGGTGTTTGCAGTTCATGCCTCTTTACATAATACGCACTGGGGTGGCTCCATGCCGTTTAGGCTCGGAGTGGCCCACTGCTGGGCTGGATATGGTTCGGCATCAGCCAGAAGGATTCTCCATCCTTCTCATGTGTGTTGACTTATGGGAAGAGCTGATCAAGATGCAAGTAGAACAGGTCTGTGATGTGCCTCCAGTGGGCCCATTTTTGGTGCAACTGACTGGATGCACTTTTGGGGAAGTGTGTCTCAGAACCTTTTCTGGTTCTTCTCCTACATGCATCAGCCGGGGAAGGCCTCATGTACATGGAGCTCTCAGAGGTGCTGTGGGTGGTCCTGTGACCATACTGGGTAGCCTCCATGGGAGAAGAGGTGGACAGAGATAGTCATCACATTTTGGCCTTCCTGCAATACTGTCCTCGATTACAGCATTTGACTGTTCCACATTAAAAATTAGAGGCACTGAGAACAGAGAGGACAATATTTGACCCTGGGTTCAATTGTATTATGTGCTTCCTTTTAAAAGGTGAAGCCTCCCTCAAATCAAGCTTGTCTCCTTGAGTTCTTGAGAACAAATGGAAGTGGTTTGTTACTGCTTTCCACTGGAATGGATTTTGTTTTTTCAACTTCCCAGTCTAGCCTACTGTTTAGATTTCCTAGTGGTCTCCCATCCAGGTGCTACTCAGGTCCCACCCTGCTCGGTGAGATCAGCTCAGGTTGGCTGGTGCTACCCCCTAGCTGAGTTTACTCTCTTTTTCAAGATTAAAAAAAAATATTTAGAATGAAGTAAAGAGGGATTTAGGGTTCCTCTGGAGTGTGGTCAAAACATGCTTGAAAATCACACGGCCCGAGGAAGGTTCGCTCCCTCTGAACCCAAATCGCGGGTCCTAATTTAGAGCCAAGTCAGAGCCGCGGCATTTACGCCTCATATTACAAGATCGCGTTTAATATCACGGCCAGATTTTGCGCGCTTTGCTCGCAAAGGAGCCCGCGTCCCGTGAAGCACTCCCAGGCGAGCGTGCCTGGACTCGCCACACCGGGTGGGGGAGAAGCCTTGGATCTTCTCAGCCATTTGCAAAGGGGGGGAGGCTTGGGGGGCGAGTGCACAAACGGGCGCCTTTTTCTCGTTCCCCCAGCGGCTGGGGCACGCGGTGCGCGCGTGCGGATCTTTCCTCTTTGTTTCCCCCGTT